GGAAAAAAAAAATTAAAAAAAAAAAAAATCAAGTCAACCAAGGCACCTGCAGGCTTTGCAAAGTGTGTTGTTGGATACGGGATCGCTACACTTGCCAAAATCAAGTTGGCTCCGTCTCTGGTCACGTTTTAGAGTAAAACCACGGTACCTGAGACCAAGTGAAATCAAGAATTGCCTGTGTCCATATGGGCAGCCCAATGAACACTCAAAACATTTCTCACGGATTGTCATTTCTTACTTGCAGGGTTTGGAACGAGAGCTCTTACCCAGTACGTCAAACAACAGACCGGCAGCTTGCTTCTTGCATCACCCACCCATAAAAGCCACTCATGCAACAGCCTCTTGACCACGAATAGGAGGGTCCGGGCTGGGACGCATGTGATGAGGGGGTCCCGCTTGCAGCACGAGGCTCTAGAGAGGAGTGGCCTTCAGCCGAGCCTCTCGGTAGCTCCCCCAGTCTTCGGGGATGTCTTTTCCCCTCTGTCAGAAGCGCTGCAGAGGGTGGCAAGCTGGGCCAGATCATACCAGGGGCTGGAAAAAGATATTTTTCTGGGGCTGGAGACATGAGGGAGGGTCCCCGTCCAAAAAACCAGGCTGGTCTGTTTCTAAACTCACTGCCTGCTGATTCAAAGTAGCAATCAACAACTATGTGGGCTTTCACTAGCTCGGCCTGGTACAATCAGAGAGAGCCCAAACGGATACAAGAAGAACAGATTTCTGACTTGCACTGTTGATTCTGAGTAGCTCCATGTCAAAACTACAACACTTAAGCAGGTGGAAAGAATAGGAAGGAAGGAAGTCACCCAGACAGACAGAGTCTGGACACTGGCTTTAGTCCTGCTGTCTGTCGCCAGGGGCAGTCCCTTTCTCTTCCCATGCGGCAAACTCCTCCGCCTAGAAGGTGGCAGGACTGGCCCCAAAGCCCTCACTCAGCCTCCTCTTCAGGCTCTGACGCCCCGTCTTTTTAACTCCTCCTTCTTTAATCAGAAACACATCAACCAACTGTAAAGTGCTGTTTTAAAAACACTTGTTTGCAACGCTGAAAATGTGAGTCACACACATCTCGTTCGTCATTGAAGATGCGATTGGCACAAATTACATCAAAAGACTATTTGCGGCGGCTCAGAAGGGCAAGTTCTGTAAAGGAAAGCGGGATGCATCGCTCCCCTGAGCAGAGCTGCCGAGAGCCCAGACTGCTGCAAGCCCCCTAAATCCATGTCCACTGGGCTTGGAAAATACACAAATCATGATCATTGTGAAGGAACAACAGAGTTCACGCTACAACACCAATGTGACAATTTGTCTGCATTTCCACATTACAAGGCAGTGCTACAGGAGGGATTTTAAATCTGCCGGGTAGCGGCGGGAACCAGGTAGGGATTAAAATTTTGGTCTAGCTCAATTGCAAAGTGGATTACCCATCATAAGAATAGAATTGGGGCGCCTGGGTGGCTCAGTCAGTTGACGGTCTCTTGATTTTGGCTCGGGTCATGATCCCAGGGTCATGAGATAGAGCCCCACACTTGGGCTCCGCACTGAGCGTGGAACCTGCTTAAAATTCTCTCTCTCTCTCTCTCTCTCTCTCGGTCTCCCTCTGCTCCTCTCCCCATCTCACGCTCTGGGGCACCTGGGAGGCTCAGTCAGTTGAGTGTCCAACTCTGGCTTTCCTCTCAGGTTGGGATCTCACAGTCGTGTGATGAAGCTCCACATCGGGCTCCACACTGGGTCTGGCGTCTGCTTCAGATTCTGTCTCTCCATCTGCCCTCCCCTGCTCATAACATGCACATTCTCTCTCCCCCCTGCTCTCTAAAATAAAATATGGGGCGCCTGGGTGGCTCAGTCGGTTGAGCGTCCAAC